TCAACATTTGGCGGGAGGAACTTAATGATTTAACTGAAATATCGATACAGAGAAATTTCTTTGATGACGATCCAATGAATATAAGCCTTCACCTATTTTCGGACGCTAGTCCTAAAGCATATGGGGCCATCGCATATTTCAGATATTGTACGAGTGATTCTAAAATTAAAACTTCCTTTATCATGTCGAAATGCAGAGTTGCACCTTTAAGAGCAATCACGCTTCCTCGTTTAGAGTTAATGGGAGCACTCGTGGCTGCTCGAATGTATAAATATTTGAAAAAATTGTTTGGTGATTTAATTGAGGATGTTTATTTTTGGAGTGATTCCGAAATCGCCATTACTTGGATTAAAGGTTCGCCAAATAATTGGAAACCATTTATCGCCAATCGTGTTACAGAAATACAGAGTATATGCAACAAAAAAAATTGTGGAACCATTGCGAAGGGAAAACAAAATCCTTCCGATTTACTAACTCGAGGAATTAGTGCTCAGTCACTAATTAAGAATGATTTGTGGTGGCATGGGCCACACTGGTTACGTTTTCCTATTGAAAACTTTCCAAAACAAAAGAAATTAAAACCAAATTCAGAATCGTTGGAGTTAAGAAAAAGTATTATTTTGACTGCACCTGTAATTAACAATGAATCCCCAATTTTGCATATAGAAAAATTCAGTTCTTTAGGAAAATTACTTCGAATTACTGCCTATGTATTTAGATTTATTGGGAGGCTTCGGAAAAGGTCTACAGAGAATGGACCTTTAAGTGCTTTTGAGATTAAAGCAGCTGAACATTATTGGGTAAAAATTACGCAACGAGAATCGTATCAAGCGGAAATAATTAAGTTATCAAATAAAAAATCAATTCTCGATTCTTCCATCTACTCCCTTAATCCAAGGCTTGATGAGGAGGGAATTCTTCGGTTGAAAGGTCGCATTCAATTTGCAGACTGTCACGAGAATTTAAAACATCCTATTCTATTACCCTCAAAATGCAAGTTTACCGAGTTGATCATCATGGACTCGCATGAAAGGGTATTCCATGCTGGAGTTAATTCGACACTAACTCAGATCAGAGACAAATATTGGATCATTAAGGGAAGACAGCGTGTTAAGACTATCATCAGCAAATGTGTGATATGCAAACGATATAGTGCTCGTCCTGGGGTACAGGATATCGCTCCACTTCCTCCAGACAGAATCCAAGAGTCGCCTCCATTTGCTGTGACCGGGTTGGACTTCGCCGGTCCATTTTTTACGAAAGACAGGCAAGGTAAAGTTTACATGCTGTTGTTAACGTGTGCGGTCACTCGTGCCTTACATATAGAGATAGTAACTGATCTCAGCACTGAAAGTTTTTTGCTAGCTTTCCGAAGATTTTTAGCTCGCCGAGGACTGTGTACCACCGTGTACTCCGATAATGCCAAGACTTTTAAAAGAGCTGATAAAGAACTAAAACATATTTTTAAAACTTTGAGTGACTCATCTGTGAAAGAATTATTTTCTGCTAGAGGCATAAATTGGAAATTTATTATTGAGAGGGGTCCATGGTGGGGAGGGTTTTTGGAGCGTATGGTACGAACCATAAAATCCAGCTTGCGAAAAATTATTGGTCGATCATCCCTTACTGTGAAAGAGCTTGAAACAGTGCTCATTGAAATCGAGGCAATGATTAATTGTAGACCAATTACCTACGTGTTTACCGATCCCAATGAACCTTCTCCACTAACACCCTCTCATTTTCTGGTTGGTAGACGATTGCTATCTCTGCCTGCTAATAAAATAACATCAAATAATTTGATTGGGTCAAGAAATTCAATTATTAAACGATATAAATACCATCAAGATATTTTAAATCATTTTTGGAAGCGTTGGAGATCAGAGTATCTTTTTAATCTGAGATCTGCCAATATTTGTCCTCCACACTCTAACGCATCTCAGTTTAAAATCAACGATATTGTCTTGATTCATGACGACAAACATCCCAGAAATCTTTGGACAATAGGTAAAATTTGGAATTAATGCCAGGCAGAGATGGTAAAATAAGATCTTGCATAATTAAAACACCTACTGGTACCTTAAAAAGGCCTATACAATTGTTATATAATATGGAACTTAACTAATGTTTGTATTTGTACTTTTAGGTTTGATTCTCCTGACCTTGCTGATAGGTATCATTTAATGTTTTGTAAAATTTTATGTGCTTATAATTATGTATGCATGTTTGTTATATTTAACCATTTCTCCAGGATTTATTGTCGAAATATTAATTGAATATTCTAGAATATATTATTGAAAGATGAACTCTCCACCGAGTTCAGGTGGGGAGTGTTGTGTAATTTGAAGAAAAAGGCTAGAGGGCGCTGTTGCTCGCTTAGTTGTAAGAGAATAAAGTTTGTTCATGTTGAAGGCGGCGGCCTAAGAATACGCTCTGTATATAGTAATTAAAATATTGTCAAAAATGAAAAAGTGTTAAAATTAGTGAACTCACTGAACCACCATCATCTGATTTGGAGATGCACAAATTTATTAGAGTAATACCCTTTATAGCGCAAAAACAAATGCCAAAGTGCAGATAAATTTTATTCTTCAAATAGTAAGCGTTGTGCATTTTTCTTTTATTTTATGTAATTTTAATTTCATTAAAGTGTTAAAGGATGAGGCGAAATTGCGTATAAATTTATCATATTGGCATCTGTGTAATTTGTTTACCCGAATTGGGCCGAAGAAATAGTTCTTTTATTTCATCAAAATATTCAGTATTGAAATCATCTTGATTAAACTGTATAACCGAGGTTCGCTTAAATTATTGTTAAAGACCACACTTTCCGACCCCTTTTAACTGTTAATCAATGGAAATTGGTACTAATCTAAAGTTACAAATAAAGTTATTTTCTCACCCTAAAATTTTCATTAAAATAATTTTTTTATTCAATTTATTGTTAAAATTCAAACTTCTCTCCTCTTCCATGTCTATGCTTCCCTTTATTTTGTTACTTCATTGAAATATACAATTTGTTATTATCTATCAGAAAAATTTAGTAAATTTAAGAATATGAATTGAAAGAATAATTATTTTATATCCTTTTATGTTCTTTGAAAGAACTTTTTTACAAACACAGAATTAATAACAGTAAATTTTTGAAACTTTAGAGCAACTTATTTCATGCATATTTTAAAAATTTTGTATAATTATTACTCTAAAGATAAATTTCATTTGATCATTTAAAGAACTTGCTTATTTATCTAAAAAATACTAATTGCTTCTTTTTTCCCGCCGGTTTTGAAAATGTTGGACACAATTCATTCCACGGTCGTGAAGAAAATCTCGAAATCAGATAGCCTGAGAGCTGCCATCTAGCGGCTGACATGTGAAAATCTCACTTGAATTTCGAGCGTAGCTGTGAGCAGTAAGTCGATTAAAGTACGTGCGATTTATTTTGATTTGGTAAGGAATTATTCTACTTTTGTGCCAATCACTAATTTTATAATGATTCTAAGACGCAGCTTGAACAAGTAAATTAGTGTAGTCTCGTAATGAGCGAAACGCATTGGTAGAATCTGTTTTAGGTTTTAATGGCGGGAGAGCCGGCTATGACGTAATACATGTAAAGCCGTAACGTCGATGGATGGTAGAGAGGGAGAGGTTGTTTTATAATAACCAATGCTACAGATTATTATTATTATTATTTATTGTTTATTATTTTCAGAACTTTTTTGATTAGTTTAACATAGTCATTCATTCGGATATATTTTTAATAAGGTATTTCAAAATAAAAATTAAGTTAATATCTAAATTTAAAAAAATTTTTCAAAGTAAAACACATTTTTAAACTTAGAGAAAAAAAAAAGTTTTCAGTTTGTTCAGATTTTAGTTTTCATATGAATTTGATATTTTTCGTCGATTCTTGATGATATATTGCTTTTTATTTCATCATTTTACTTTATTATGCACGGAGTGATAATCTCAAAGCATTTTAACTACAAATGTCTAAAATCTTAAAAATTATATGCATTTTTTACTTTCCGGGAAAATCAAATTTTTCATTATTAATTACTTATGCATAACGCCTTAATTTTTTTCCTTTGGTTTATTTTATTTTTAAAAATCGTGTTAAAGGTGCTAGAAAGTAGTACCGATGGCGAGTTTTTATGAAGATCCTCTGACCGGCAAGGCCGTACACATATGGCCTAAAATAGTTTTCGTGACATCTTTAAGAAAGTATATATATATATATGTAACTTGAAATATGTCTAGGAAATTAAGGCTATATTTTAAAAGTATATAAATTCAAGATAAAGTAGCAACATTTTAGCATTAAAACTCAAGAAAGCACCCTCTTTCTTATGCCATCTTTGAAAAATTTGGACTTTCTTAACGAAATCCCGTGATAAATTAAAATTAAGAAATTTTAATAGATTTCTTCAGAAATCTATTTTAACATTTTAAGCCCTTTTTGTGGTTAAAATTAATTTATAATGATTACATAATTTAGATTTATTTACCTTCGTATATGTGTAAACAGAAAATATTTTTTTTTTTTTTTTTTTTTTTTCCCCTGTGGTTAGACATTAGATTAAGTTATTAAATACAGGACAACACGGAACAGCATATATTTAGATCAGTAAGATGAAATACTTCTATAGGTAAAATGCGTTGAACAGTATTTTTATTTATTTATTTATTATTATTATTATTTTAATATTAACGTTTATTTAAGGCTTACCAGCAGCCGAGTATATAATACTTCTGAATAGTGGTAGTTCCATAAGGATTTGATTTCGGTAGCTCAACATGTTGGCGCATAGAGATTTCATAGTATTTTTCCTTGTTTTACGAGAATGTGATCTAGTTATTAATACTGTCGAATACTAGTAGTTTACCAAGGGTCCAATTCTGGCAGCAGGTTTGATTTCCCTAAAGTGTTTCCTCCAATAGTTTCCGTCACACGACTTTTAGGATGGTTTCCATTTTCTGTGGCAAATATTACTGGAGTGTCTTGAAGTACTTTGCAGTAATAAATAACTTACATTATTTAATTTAACTAGCCAAATAGAAAGAAAATTATTGGTAATAAAATTAATTCAGTGATCCAGGGTGAATCTAAAAAAAGTGAGCAAAAGTTAATGGATGATAGAACGCAGCTGTACGATCAATATTCATCATAATGGTTGGAATTCAAGCGGTGAGAAGTTAAAAGGTAGTTTTCCAGTGTCACATTAAGTAATTAACACAAGAATGACAGTAGATACTTTAGATTTGGTTTATGTGATTAACGGCAAAGCCTCGAGGGCTATCTACCTGAGGGATGCCTTCGTGGAGGACTTTCTAAGAGAACTGGCTGGTATAGACGTTACGCATGGGAAAAGCCTCGGAAACGCCCATGCAGCCAGCCCGTTCGAGGGATTCGAACTTCGGACCAAACTACTACCACTGTTCAGCAACTTTACCGCGCGGCCGCTCTAGATACTTCAGAAAACATTTTATTATCAGGAATATAATTGACGTACATGCTCAAAGAAATCGCTCAAAAGACCTTCTGCCAGCTGTATCGCAGGTTTCACACCTGCAGGATAGGGACTGACGCACATTTGCGAAGACCCAGACATTTCCTGATCATCGTCGGTAATAGCGGCGATCCTGGTGACTAGATCCATATTATTTTCAGCGGAGTACTCGTAGATTAGGCTTTTCATGTGGCTCCATAGGAAAAAATCCAAACACGAGAGATCCGGTGATCTTGGTGGCCAAGCTATGGGACCACCTCTACCAAATCATCGCCCTGCAAATTTTATGGTTCGTATAACCAGCCCAGACCCTTTTTATACCATTTACAATGCCAGCTAGGCTGGCCATTTGAGTTTCCCCCAAAATTTCTATGACGAATATTGCTTGTACAGCTGTGTTCTATCACCTCATAAAGTTTTGCCCATTTTTTCAGATTCGCCCTGTTGCATAATAATTATATATTGATCACAGAGCTCGTATGACACGACTGTGATTCAAGTCCTAGTTCAGAATACGATGTAAAATGTAAATTATTAAATATTTTATTTTCTTGCATTTATGTACTTCTTTCATCTCTTGTGCAAACGCTAAGGACTTTTAATATAATATCAAACCAATCCTACTTGAGAAAAGTATTATTTTTCTAAAAAAAAATATTTACTTAGAAGAATTCTTCCAACTGTTCTGCCTATCAGCGGCTGGGTGGATAAGACCGCTGAAAATTGTTAGTTCGATCTGGGTTCAAATCATGGCCAACACGCTGGCTGCTGCAGCATGTATATTGCAAATGACTTTTAATGTAATATCAAACTAATCCTACTTCTTGAGAAAAGTATTATTTTTCTAAAAAAAAATTATTTACTTGGAAGAATTCTTCCAACTATTCTGCCCATTAGCGGCTGGGCGGATAAGATCGTTGAAAATTGTTAGTTCGATCTGCGTTCAAATCATGGTCAACGGGCTGGCTGCTGGGGCATGTATATTGTAAATGAAGCAGTTTACCTTAGTAAGCTGTCTACGAAAGTGTTCCTCCCTTTAATCAGATAGCTGTAGAGTGTTTTGCCATAACCTGATGAATTGTGTTTGAATTGCTCATTTGATTTTAGAATATATCAAAATAAATTAAAATTTGATTTATTACGTGACAAAATCTACATCTTTGTTTATAGAACGAAAAATATTCTCAAACATATAAACTTCGCAAAAAATAAGCCTGTTTGGGGCTTCTATAATTAAGACACAACAACACGCCGAATAAATACTAATTCAGAAGTCAAACAACAAAAATTAGCGTTATATTTTCAAAAATTTCACAGGACTAGTTTCAATGGTTTTACCGAACCACCATCCTCAGCTGCAAAACCGCAAATTGATTTTTGTTGTTTGACTTCTGAATTAGTATAAACTTCGGTTAAATAGGTATTCTTAAGTGAAAACGTGCATACAAGTTTCAGAGAAGTTACGTATAATTTAGATTTTGAAAACCATTTTACAGCTCTTTATTCTACAATATAGTTCTTTATGCTTTATTTTCTTCAATTCTTCAATACGCAAGAGACAATTATCTTCATAGAGAACGAGATTTCATTGCTGTTACAACAGAAAGTTGATCAACTCTGGATTAACCAGAGTAATATCAGAAACGACGTTCACAACTAAACTCAAAACCACCTTTGGTTTTTGTCGATTTTACCGGCCACCTGTAATAAATGGCTAAGTTTGATGGTGTTATCACTAGGGCTGTGGAGTCGGAATCGGAGTCGGGCAGATTTTGGGGTAAAAGGAGCCGGAGCTGGAGTCGTTAAAAATAAGTCGACTCCGACTCCAGTTTTCATTGGACAGTTTGAATTTGAAATGAAATTAGAAAGAACTGAAAAAAATGAATGACAAGCTGAGTTATTATTTTTATTTATGGACTGTATACATTAATATATAGTTATTTTCTATTTTATTGACCTATTAATAAATAAATATAAGGGAAGAGGATGGATTTGATATTTGCTTAAGGAAGTACATATTTAATTATAAAGAGGTTTTTAGAATTAAGACTTTTTAGAAGATGTAGATAACCCTAATGTTTTACTAACAGAAAGACTGTGGAATGATCTTGCAAAATTGGAAACTCTTCTTTCTATGACGTATATATCCACGAAAAAGCTGCAATCTGAAGAACTGACAGGAGACGAGAATGGGATGTTTGTTCTTTCTGAAATGGAGGGTTTATTGCAGAAGGAATCATTTCTTCAATGAAGAAAAGAGAAACTAGTTTGCTAGACAATGAGATCTTGCTGGGTTCAATATATGGAGATCCGAAACACCGAATTTTCTTGGATGACGAACAAATTAAAAGCCAAAGAAAGTCATCGATGAACTTTCATTAAGAATGAAATTATTCGCAGACCAATTAGAGAATTCGAATCAGGACAGTCAAACTGCAGACACTGCAATTGAGTCTCTATCATCCTTTTCCCTTGATGAATAAGATTTTGAGAAATATTTTTGGATAATATTGAAAAGGCTAAGGCAAAGCGAATGGAAATAAAAAACATGAGCCTTTAGATTTAAAAATGGAAAAATGCAAACAAGATTTCTACACAGCCTTTGAAGAAATAGAGAAATATGATTGCGCTTGCAAGACGCCTCTTTTAGAACTTCTAAAAATCTGTCCTGAAAAGTTAAGAGAAGCAGCCCTAACAGTTATAGCTCTTCCTCCTACTCAAGTTGGTGTGGAAAGACTCTTCTTAGCTCTGAAGTTTATCAAATCGGATCTATGGCCATCCAACAAAGAAAATCTTGTCGAAGCTATACTGTTTCTTAGAAATAACTAATACCAGTTTTTCCATTTCATAATAAATGCTAATCAATATAAATAATTTGCTATGCCATTAATTTTTTTCTCTAGCATCTGTTACTTCTTTTATATTAAAAAAATAAGCTGT